ATATTTAATAACAATTTAAAAATTTTTTCAATAAATCCCCATAGTTACATAAATGTAATAAATTTTTCAAAAATTTTCGTAAAATAACATTTTTGAAATTAAAAGATATAAAGTATTTGAAAGTTTATTTAAAATGCATTAAATAATTATTGAAAATTAATAGAATATTTTGGAAATTTTATTACATTTGATAGATTTTTGAAAACCATTGAAAAATTATGTAATTTTCTTGACAAATTATTGAAAGTTATTAAAGATAAATGACTATGGGAAATAGAAAACTATAACTTGAACAAATAATTACACAGATTATTAAGATAAATTAGTATAATTCTGTAAGTAAACCATTTAAAAAGAAAATAAATTATTTAATAAAAAATAAATAAATTTTCAAAATTACACAAGTACAATAAATTTTCTAAAATTTAAACAAAATTACATTTTTGAATATTAAAGACAATTTAGTATACTTAAGAAATTTACCATGTGGTTGATACTCAATATATCCTTTTGATCATTTCTATCATCAAATTGAATATTGGGTTGGTGGGGATAGTGTTTTCAAAATTGGATCAAACCAAATTGTTAGATTGGAAAAATTGGGAACCGGACACCGTTTCACCTCAAAACCGCTTTTTGTCAAAAAATCATTTATTTGGTTAGTGAACCGCTGACCTGGGCGATCGAACCGTCAACCCGGACAACAATTTTTGGCCTTTTTTTGTTTTTCTAATTTTTTATTTTATTTTGTTAGAGTGGGTCATCCATTTGGACCGAACAGTCAGACTGTTTGACACCATAACGGTTCCCTATCCGGTCCAATTTTAAAAACCTTGGATAGGGAGTGGGTGCCTTCTTGAGCTTGGCTTGGTGTGCGGCATGGCATGGCCCAAGGCTCGGCCAACGGACCAGCCTAACCCACGGCATGGCACGGGCCCATACAGGCTCGAGCCATGGGCCATGCCGAACCGATCCCCCAAATTATCCTAGAGGAGAGAGGCACGGCCTGGGACGCCTTGTGGGCCAGCATGGCACAACTTGCACTTTGTGTGGGCCACATGCGGGTCGTGTCCTGTCGACCCAACACGACCCAATTTACACTTCTACTTGAACCCGCCCCATATTGGGAACGAGGTAGGGAAATTCGAGGATTCTCCATCATTGATGAGGAGTGGGGTGCCTTGCCCTTGAACTCGCCCAACATTGAGGAGTGGTTTACCTTACCCTGAACCCGCATGACACCGGGGATGGGGCGGGGATGGGGTAGAATGTCTTGACTATGGGGCAGGGAAAGGGATGGGGTGCCCTACCTTGAACCCACCCTGTTGTCATTCCTATATAATTGTTAATCATTAGTGGAATTAATAAAAATATTAGCTTTTATAATTATTTTTATTTATTTAAAATTAATCAAAATTTCATTTAAAATAATAAAGAGAATAAAAATTATTAAAATTACAACAAATTATTAATAAAGCTAAATTTATTAAAAAATATTTGTTCATATTCAATTAACAATAATTATTTTTTATAAATCAACATTAAATAAAAAATAAAATTTTTATACCTTTCAGATTTTCTTGTACATCGCACAGGTCCCTGTTAGTTTAAAAAAAAAAAAAATCTAAAAAACCGAAAAAAGATAAATGCCTTTCAATTTCAAAAACAACAGAAATAGGAAAATACCAACTTTGTACATTCCCTTTAGATATAGATGCGGACTGCCACAAAGAAGCTGAACCAGTTTAATTATTGAATTTTCATCTTAGTCCTCCAAAAAACGGGCCTTAGGTACAGATCTAGCTTTTTCAGGAGAAAAAAAAAAAAAGGTTACAGATCTAGCCACCTTTTCTAATCACTTTCTAGGAACGTTCAGTTGCGTGCAGCCTCCAAAGGCCCCCATGCCGATCGACTTGGATCAGATAAGTTTTGCATTGAGAAAAGCAAAGGGAAGAACGAGTCAATAGATTCGAAAGGTAAAAACTAGGCCTGGTCTTTGAGCAATACCTTATTCCAGATTAGTATACTAGACAGCATCTTGCTCGGTCTGGTTCAGTCTGGATCCCAGAAAACTAGTTCAGAAATTGTATATATCCTAACCATTTGAGTCTGATCCTGACCTTAGCACTAGCAGGACAGCAACCTAATGGTTATGTTTGGTTTGAAAGAAAAAATAAGGAAAGTAAGAAAAAGATAAAAAGACCTACATAAGATTTATAAAGTTTGCTTGCCTTTCTTTTCCTTTTCTTATATTTTCCTTCAAACCAAACACAGTCAAAGGAGCCGTGAGCCCCATGACTGTTATAGGTCAAATCCATTAATCCAACAGTAGATTCATCTAAATTATTATCTTATAGCCTTTGTTTCAGCCCTGAAAGAGTGATTTGTATAGAGGGCCTGAAGCAGGTCTTATACGATTTATGTTCCAGCTGGTTTCTATCTTGACGGATAGCCAACTCATGGGCACCACTGATGTTTGGTGCAGATTATCTCTGCACACATCACCAAACAGACACAAAATGGACCCCACAGCTTCATTCAATGAATATAAGTAATCAAATTGAAATAGTATAATGATTCTTTCTAATAATCAAATAAGCCCTAAAAAATCAAAGTGCCAATCAGCTAGCTGGTTGTAGAATTGAGGGATGGACCATCCTCAACCCCCCTACTGATCGTGATTATTAATAAAAATTGTTCATATAAACATTTAATTATTTTGCATGACGAAATTACCCCTAAATTATTTAATCAATCTTATTAAAATATTTTTATGATAAAAAATTAAGCTTTACAGGCTTGCCTGACAATTATTGCTAGTGTATGCAGAGGCAAACTTGTTTTAATAATAAGACAAAAATCAACATCAAACCGATTAGCTTGGTCACCAAGTCTTATCTAATCCCATGAAAGATATTTGCCAATATTTCCTTCCACAAAAGTTCAACCTGCAGCTGTCATCCCAGACACGGTACTCCGCTTTGTCACGCTTCATCAATGGAGGAGACTTTTCCCATCTTTTCATCTCTTTCTTCCTTTATAAATTAAAAAAATCCATTTAACACGTATGTTTATTGATCCACCAACAGATCCATTATCTTAAATTATAGAACCTTAAACTTACATATGCTTAATTATATTCTCGTCTCTACAGTCAGTACTCAGTAGTCTTCCATCAATTCAGTTATCCAATCTCCAGCAGCTACCAATGGTTTTCGACAACTGGAAGCCCTTGAACCGATTAAGGACTGCTGTAAAGAAGGTGAGATTCCTGTTAAACTACAACGTAAATCGATTCCGTCTGGCTTCAATCATCGGAAAACCCAGCGGTCATCGTCGGTTAAGCTTCAACGACAGGCCGGGATTGCGGGTTATCACAGACGATACTGATTCTGAAGATAGTGGTTCTGCGAGGGGATTGCAAGGACTACAGAGAACAATAAGCTTCCCCTCCGAAGAAGATGTAGATAGCAGGGCGGAGATGTTTATTTCTAATTTCTACAGGAGACTTCAGATTGAGAGACAGATCTCGCTGGAGCTTCAGTACTGCAGGGAGAACAGTTTGGAGAGTACTCGATCTGATTGATGAAGATAACTAATTTTGGTCTATTGAACCCATGATGGGAAATCATCAGCTTCTTTGAAACGGGAAGCTTCAGCTAAGTATCGATCGTTCTATTTTCTGTCTAGATTTGGTGGACTTTGAGTGTTTGTTGTTGAAGGGTATTCTGATGAGGATCTGTGTTTTATGAGAGATCTCCTGACTGCAAGAGAAGTTATTTTTTTCTGTTTTTGTTTTTTTTTTTTTTTTTGAATTCTTTCATTTTGGAAAAATATGTAAACTCAGTATTAATTTCTATATTTCTTTGTAAAAATTGTTTCATGGAAATTGACAAGGATTAATAATTGTTAATTTCTACTTCATTAATTATCCTTATTGTTGAAAGTGTGTTATGGATCATAGAAGCATAAAACTGATATTTGAGTTTGAATCATGCAAAATGCTCAATCTAGTCGATAATTTTGTGGTTTTATCAGCACAAACTTTCGCACATTTGATGCCACCAGAAATAGGTGAGATAATTCTTCTTTAATTAGGGCCGGTTTGGTTTGTGGGAGTGGATGCGGAATCGGGATCGAAATGGGCTTATTCCAAATCTAATTCATTGATTGGGTGGAACGGGAACCCATTCCCATTTGGTGGAGCGGCATTCTCCATTTAGGACTTAGGAATGAGATTCCATTTTAATTGAACTGATTCTAATTCAGATGAATCAAACATACAACGAGAATAATCATTCCGATTCCAATTCCAAGGATTGTCCTTAAAACAGAAGAGCATCCCTAAAGAGTCACAGAACAAAGCTCAGTGAAGATAGGAGCAAAAGGCCAAAAGCCATCCTGGCAATTTCTTGGAACATGAGCCCATCAGAGATTAAGCAAGCTGTTCAAACATACACCAAACATTTGCTGGAAAAGAAGTTCACAAGGGCAAGGTTGCCCGTCTCCATGTACACATGTGAAAGCTGGAAATTAACTGCCAACTTTAAACGTCAAGAGCTGCGTGGGCCTCAGAAAAAAGGGTAATCTATGAACATCTGACTTGGAGCAAGCTTCCAAAACAAATCCCATCACCTTTATAAATCACACAACTATAACTGGTAAGCAGTGGAGGAGTAAGGAATTTTCTCTTCGAAGGGCCACGGTAGGCTGTCTCGGAAAATGGAGTGAACGTTCGGGTCTATTCTATATTTTTTTAAAGAAAAAAAGAAAACAAAGTTTTTAATATTGGGAATTGGTTCAAGTTTTTATCATTTTAACTGGTTCAAGTTTTTTTCTTTTTTTTTTTGGGAGGGGGGGAGAGGGGTGTCATACAATTTTGACCTTACCTCTACTTGCTAACTAAGATTCAGATTAGGCCTTTAGCTACGTACAAAATTATAGCTAAAAAAAAGAACTGTAGTTAAAGGTCTATACCTATGATTCCCCTATAGCCTATAATTATAGAAAGTATAGGTCGTAGCTAAAAGGCATATATAATCACAGTTTTATCTGTCTGTAGCTAAAAGGTCAATTGCTGATTAAACTTTATCTATAGCTAAGGTATCATATAACCACAATTTGTCCATTTTCAAGACTCAATTGTAGATCAATTTATAAACATTTTTCTCAAAAAACCGTAGCTAAAGGGAGCATTGGAGCATATAGCCATGGTTTGTACAATCTGTGGCTAAAGGCTAAACTGTTAATCAATCTAAAGCACGATTTTATGAAAAAAAAACCATGACTAAAGGAGTATATAGCCACTGTTTGTATGTCTGTGGCTAACGATTTAATTGATGATCAAGCTATAACTATGGTTTCTGAAAATCGTAGCTAAAGGTAGCATATTGTCATGATTTGACAAAACTTAGGCCTCGTTTGGTTTGTAGGAACAGGGGCTGGAATCAGAATCGGAATGGGCTATTTCAATTTTAACTTTTTTGTTTGACAGAATTAGAATCTCATAGTTATAGTTTGATCATCAATTAAGTCTTTAGCCACAGGCATTGTACAAAAGGGAATGACCATTCTCTACCCTTTGATCACTTGGGAATGAAATCCCATTCCCGCTAATTCTAATTCTCATTCCTATCCCTGTCTGATCCAAACAAACTATGAGAATAGACCTAGGAATGGAAATGGGGTGGAGCGGGGCGAGGTTTTCCTTGCCCTACCTGATCCCAAATTGAAATTCCCGACCCAAACCCCACCGGGGCGGGGCTAAAAATCTTAACCTCATCCCTGTCCCCATGGGGAACGGGGATCCCCAACTTTGCCCCATGCCGCCCCGATCATTCTTACTTGTATACTTATAAATTTATTTTTTTATTTTTTTGAAACCTACCTAAAAATATTTTATATTATGTAATATAATATAGTATAATATAATATATAATAATATAATATACATGAGCATATATTAATAATTTTATACATATTATGTTATATAATATAGTTGGGGCAGGGTTGGGGTTGGGTGGACAAATACCATCCCTGCCCTATCCCCAATCCCTAGAGTTTCGGGTTTTCTCCAAACTTACACCAAACCCTGACCAGTGGTAAAAAAAACCCGCCCTAACTAGGGCAAAGCCCTATAGGAATGGGTCAAATTGCCATCTCTAAATAGGCCATTCCAATTCCAATTCCGATTGTAAACCAAACGTCCCCTTATTATATTATGAAACCAATTTACATCTCGATTGAAGCATTTGATCCACTTTGTCTCGATTAACTTTGTAATTAAAGACTCAACCTATAAAGAAAACAACAAAATAATAAACATTCACATTTGTGTATATAAAGTTGAATTTTAAAATTTAATTGTGTACACAATGCTACATTCGTACCAAGTTAATTGACATTGAGAACATTACCATGTATTCAAACCTTAAAGATTTTATCATACAATATAATCCTTCTCTTACCATTACAAAGGTCCAAGCATATAGCAATATAAAATATTGTGATTGGATTCTGCAACATCACGAGATAAATTGTGTTAAAAAGATAACCATCTAATGAAGGATGTCTAAATACTTGAACCCTCCAACATGAAAAATTAAAACATTTTTATAACAACACCCATAAAAGATTTACCAAGGGGATATGTTAATTTTGTCAATAATGCAAGCCTCTATAAAGTTAATCAAATTTCAACAAAAAAAAAAATATAAGTTAATCAACATCACAATCATACCAATGCCATGTTTGGTTCATTGCTCTGGGCCCGGGGTTCGAGGCCCATGGGCACGTGCCATGCCACCTGCGTGCTGGTACAACACGGCCCGCCAGGCCCATAGCGGTTAGTTTTAACTTTTTTGGGGTTTTTTATAGAAATACCCCCCAACAACTATAAATAACCATATTAGGGGGTATTTGTGTATTTTGCTTATGGGGGTTGAAAAAATGACATAAATGCCCCTAACATCTATATAACAACTAGTTTAGGGGGCATTTTGGGTAAAGTTATAAGTATTTTTATAATGACCAAAATACCCATCCTAACAACTAAATAACAGATAGTTTTTTGGGTATTTTGGGCAATTGAATTATGTTCAATTCCTATAAATAGCCCTATCCTCCACCATTCTCATCACACCAATTCAACAATTCTCTTAATCTCTTCTCTCTGTCTTTCATACTTATACATTCTCAATTATCTGCAATATGAGAAATTCTGATTAGCTAATTGTCTGATTCTGCGTTCTCCAATTCTCAAGTCTAAACGTTATCGAAGTTTAGACTTTCAACAAGAAGAAGGCTTGCTCAACCAGCTCAAGTATCTTAATTTGGGATGCTTGGATGTTGAAAGGCTTCAACCGTTGAAATCAAGTTGAGATTTTGAACCAGCAATCCGGGTAATTTGAATTAGATTAATTTTTATCTTTTTAGAATTAAAAAAATGGTCGGCTCTTCTGAAAACCGATTCCCCAACATGGTCACCATGGATGACATTTAATCGCATCACGATAGTGTTAGCATTGGTGCAATTGATGTCGATGGAAGTGGAATTTTCACCCCCAATAGTAGTGATACTAGGGGAAAACAGAGGGCTTCTAAGCTGAGTAGCCCAATTTGGAAAGTTTTCAAAGTAGAAGATATTGATGGGAAGGGGAAAATGGTCGTTTGCCAAAAATGTAGGAAAGATTTTGGTTATTGTAGCAAGGGTGGTACGGGTCATTTGAACAGATATCTGCTCACACATGAGTACGAGGAAGATGAAAGGAGAGAAACAACTGAAACACAGATTAGGAGGGGGGCTAGTTTTGGTACTTTTAGATATTCACAAGAAAAAATGAGACAAGAACTTGCTAAGCATATTGTACATTCAGAACAACCATTTATATTAGCTGAAGATCCAAAGGTAGAAAAATGGTTGCATTCTGTAAACCCACAATATAAAAAATTTTCTAGGAAGACTATAAGAACCGTTGCTTTAAAAATTTTTTATTCATATAAACAAAATTTAATTTTTTTGTTAGCAAATCTTAATTCTAAAATTGCAATTATTTCGGATGTTTGGACATCCAAATTTAATATTAGTTATATTTGTGTTATTGGCTATTTCATTGATGAAAATTAGCTTTTGAATAAAAAAATTTTAAGTTTTACTAGGCTTGAATGGCTATATAGTGGCCCAGCTATTGCTGCAAGTATTTTAAATACTTTGCATGCTTATGTATTAGTTTTGATAATGCTAGAAATAATGATTATGCAATAAATATTTTAAAATCTCAGTTAAAACCATGCTTAAATGGTAAATTATTTCATATTAGATGTGCATGTCACATCTTAAATTTATGTATTCAAGATGCCTTGAATATTATTTCAAATCATACTTCAAAAATTAGAAACTGTATTATATGTATATAAAAAGTTCAAGGGCAAGAAAACAAGAATTTAAATATTTATGCCAAAATTTTGGTTTAAAATATAAACATTTTATATTAGATGTAAAGCAAAGGTGGAGTTCTACCTATGCTATGTTAGAAAGTTGTATATCTCATAAACAAATTCTTTCTAATTTTTATAATTCAAAAATGCCTAATAATATGATATTTGAGGAAGACTGGGAAATGGCAGTCTGTATAAGAGATTTTTTAAAGCATTCTTATGATGCAACAGATGAATTATCTAAAATTTATTATCCAACTAGTTGTAATTTATCATATAAATTAATGGTAATTAGTGATTGTTTTGCTAAATATCCATAATTTCAATGTATTGTTGAAATTATGGAAAATAAATTTAAAAAATATTGGGAGAACATTTATCCCTTTTATTGTTTAGCTACAATATTAGACCCTAGGATTAGGAAAGGTGGTTTAGATATTTTACTTGAAACATATTGTGAAAATATGAATATTGATATAGTAAATAAAAAAGAAGAAATTAATAATTTAT